GCCCGAGCGCTCGGCGGGCTCGAACTTCCTGTTGATGGGCAGCGCTAGCCCGTGGAGGTGGAGGAGCTCGGCGGGGATGCTTGGAATGGCTAACCCGATGCGCTCGGCGAGGGAGCCGCGGGTCAGCTTCTCGACCTTCTCGGCGCCGAGCTCCATGTCTCTCTTCATGGCGAGCTCCTGCAGCTTGGCCTTGGAGGTCGGCATGGGCCAGGACAGGTCCCTGCGTGGCTCTCCGTGGTTCTCGAAGATGTCGTGCACGTGCTCGTTCTTCTCGACGTAGGTCTTGAAGAACACCGCCACGGCCAGCTCGATGCGCCTCTTGTCCTTCTCGTTGAAGATGTGGCCGTACTCGATGCTCTTGTGGCGCCCGCCTTGGTAGACCATCTCCAGCGCGGCTTGCGGGGCGCTCGACGACCGCGAGGCGCTCTCGGCCTTGAAATAGCAGCTCGTCATCCTCGCTGCATCCGTGCCTTGCGCGCTCGACTGGCACTGGAGCATCTCGGCGATGCGGACTTTCTCGGCGATGTAGCTCAGTGTTTCGATGATCTTCTCGTTCGGCTTGGCCATGCGCTCGAGGATCTCGTTCGAGCTCGGGCTCGGCGCCGCCGCGTGCTTCAACGCCACGACGGGCAGGCTCGCGGCAGCTGCGCGCTCGGCGGGCTCGGCCATCGCTGGGGCTCGCGACGCAGTCAGGGGCAACAATGTGAGGGTACAGGCATTGGGGGGGGGGACATCGACCAGGAATCGGCGATGCATCGCCGATGCATCGGCGATGCGCGCCCGGCGCAGCGGCGACGCATCGCAGATTCCAAGTCGATGACCCCCAAAAATGCCGATGCATCGGCGATACATCGCCGATGCGTAGGCATGCCTATCCCCCCCTATCGCAGCCCCTGGGGCGAAGAGGCTCGGCGCCTCGAAGAGGCTCGTAACCTTGGAGTCTCGAAGACTCGGGGAAGCTGGCAGCTGCGGGGGCCGATGGGGGGGGGGAGGAGGAGGAGGAGGAGGAGGAGGAGGAGGAGGAGGAGGAGGAGGAGGAGGAGGAGGAGGGGGAGGAGGAGGAGGAGGAGGAATAAGGGCCACGAGCCGTGTGAGGGGTGCGCTAAAAAGTAAATCACTCAACTAACTAACTCCAATGGCCTGCCTGCTCGGAAAAAAAAAAAAAAAAAAAAAAAAAAAAAAAAAAACGCATGCGCCATCAAAATCCAACCGGTCCCGATGGCCCTTGCACGCGTTCCTGATTCGGGAACGGGTAAGAAAATGAGAACTCCATGGCCCTGCCGCACGGTCGTAACGTGGGCAAACTGAACTGGTGAGAACCCCACAGCTCTGCCACGCGCTCGTGATTGCGGAAACTGGTGTGGCGAGACCACCATGGCCATGCTCAGCGTTTTTGATGCTGTTGCTATAGCAGCATGATGTGATAGCAACTTCGACCCCCGCAGCTTTGCAGGTGATTATCAAGTTCGGCCCACGCGCCTTCCCCACAGATAGATCCCTGTGGTCGGGGATGCAAGAAATGCAAGGGGAAGGGGGGGTACTTTATTATCGCCCGTTGCGGGTTATCTATTTTGTGGCTGGCGGGTGGGAGGCCCAGTGATTTCAGGACGTGGACGAGCAAGCGCAACACCTGAGCCGACCAGGGACAGATGTTGCTGATGGCCCCCCGTATGGATACAGCAATGTCGTCTGCATAGAGAACCAACGTGCGTGGTCTGAAGGCTGTGTGCTTCTCAAGGGACTCAAAGGAGGCGAGCATGACACACTGCAGCGCAAACGTGGCCATCGCACATCCAGGCAGGACTCCTCTGGCGGCGAACACTGGTGAAGAAAATCAAGTATCCCACGCAAGTCGCCTCTCCCCCATATGAGTGGGCATGGCGAGAAGGATAAGGAGGAGGAGGAGGAGGAGGAGGAGGAGGAGGAGGAGGAGGAGGAGGAGGAGGAGGAGGAGAAGGATTGCACTGTAGTGCATATGCTCTCGAGGGTCGGAATAGTCCTGTGAAGGTGCTCGCGAGGGTTGGGATGACAACCCCTCTGGCCCTGAAACCTGTGCAAGGAGTGTCGCTGGCACCCGACGCTGGTGGATGGCGCGCGTGGTCCGCCTGCCCCGCGTCAGCCACCTATGTTCGACGCGTTCGGTTTAGCGGGGCTGGCGCCCCCAGAATATGGGCCGTTTGACGGACCTCTGAGCAGAGGATGGACTGGCATCTCCCAGAATAAGGTCACACGCTGGCTCCCAACCAAACATGGGGGGCCCAGGGCAGCTCACCGGGGGCCGCCGGGCAGGACGGCTTGCTACCCTAGTTGGGACATTTGCGCCTGCTACACCGCAGGGGGCGATCGGGGCAAGAACTCGTCGTTCCCGAGGGTCTCCACGCAGTCTTGAGCCGCGAGGAGGTGCGGGGTCGCCTCCGCCGAGCGGCGGTTGGCGTGGTCCTGCCAGAAGTCGACGTCGGCCTGCGCCAAGGCGATCATGGAAAGGGATTTGCTTCGCTCGACCCTGGGGGCCTTCTTCGCTGCAGGCGCCGGGTCCTCCTGCTGGGTGGGGTGCTTGGGTCCAGGAGCGAACGCAACGCCACCACCGCGGAAAAAGGGAAAGGAGGAGGAGGAGGAGGAAGAGGAGGAGGAGGAGGAGCGAGCGTCCCCAAAACGTCTCGTCCCTTCATCACCCGCGCTCGCGCTCGGCCGCGCGCGCGCCCTCCTCGCGGCCTCTCAAGGCCGTCTCGTAGACGTCGATGGAGTCGCCGTCGTTGAAGCTCTGTGTCGCCGCCGGCGACGGTGTGGACGCCCATGTGGTCGTCGAAGTCGTGATGAACAGTAGGTACATGATCAGGGAAGGCATCGCCAGCCGCCTCCGCAGCCAGCTCGACGTAGGTCGGGTCGGACTCGGCTGTGTCCACTGGCCAGTTGTCAACTTCATGAAGGCGCGGGAGGAACTCAGGGTCCTCCATCTCCACTGGAGGATCGTCATCAGGAGCACTAGGCACGTTGTCTTGAAAGGAAACCTCTTCAATCGCAGCGCCAGTCGGGTCTTCCTCTAGCAGGTTGCTAGGATGGAGTAAAAGCCACGTGATCAGCCCGATTTTGTCCTCTGTGAGGGTGGGGAAGAGGGTGTGGAGCACTAGCAGCGCCTGGCGAAATTGATCAGGTTCAAGAGCATCAGGGTGGCCAGGGTGCTTTGGAGCAGCCACCGGTGGAGTCGCTGGAGACGAAGACGATGCCGACGACGCCAACGTAGTCGCAGAAGGTGTCGGGAGGATGTGATGAATCAGCAAGTTGATCGCGTTCAAAGTATTTCGCTGAATCGTTTCCCACTGCGGCGTCTCGTTCCAATCCTCCAACTCCAACCCTTGGCCAGCTGCGCGCACCCGAGGAGGCAGCTGAGGACGGAGTAGCTCACTGGAGGAAGCCGAGGACAGGGTAGCTGTCTATGAACGCCAGGAGGCCGCGGAAGTCCAGAGAGATGCTGAACAGCAGGCGCCGCACCGCCATGGGGTCCTGGAAGAATACCAGACGCCGACGAAGCACCAGCAGCGGCTGAGATGGCCGCCAAGTCATCACCATGCGCAACGGCAAGGACAGGGGACTGCGCCAAAGTAGGGAGGAGGAGGAGGAGGAGGAGGAGGAGGAGGAGGAGGAGGAGGAGGAGGAGGAGGAGGAGGAGGGGCAGGAGTAGGGGGAAAAGGAGCGGTGAGGAACCCCGCTCGTTGGAGCCCCCGAGATGTAGCAGACCCGTTCCACCTTGAGGGGCTCCGGCAACCAATCCGGCCCACTGCCCAGAGGGGCGGGCCCCGCGGCCCAGGACGCCCCGAGGGCAGGGCCGCCAGGCAGGGCGGGCGTCCAGGTCGGGAGGTCAAGAGCCAGGGCTCGCGGCTCGAGGCTCAAGGCTCGAGAGCCAGGGCTAGAGGTTCGAGGATACGGTCAGGAACGTTTGCTTAGCATGTCGCGGCGGCGGCCCCGGCGATATGCTGTACCCTGCAGGCGGATACAGTGTCGTTCCGATTCGTGGGGCGTCAGGCTGGGAAAGGCTCGATCGGGTTGTGCATAGCGTGGCGCGCCGAAGCGCGGTGGACCAGAATTGGCAGCGTGACACGCTAAGCCAAAGTTCCTGACCGTACGCGTTGCCCCGCCTAGCAGGTCGCGGCTGTCATATGCACTCAGAGAGAGGAGCTGCCGACCCTCCTCGCACACCCTGCACACCGCGGCCGCCGGGCCCAAGGTACGTGAGTGCTCCCCGGGCATCTCGGCTCGGGTCTTCGGCAAATGACGACTACATGCCGCGGCCGCCAGGCTCCAAGGGTGGCAGTGCTCCCCGGGTATCCCGCCTCGCGCCCTTGGGTGCGGATCTCGCGAAACGACGTTTGTTGTTTGCTTGTTTGTTGTTTTGTTTGTTTGTTTGTTTGCTTTTTGTTGCTTCTTGCGGGGCCTCTGACCCCCCCTGCTGGATACACCCTCTCAGGCCGCCGGGGACCTCTGGAGATCCCCTGGGGGCCTCCAGCGACCTGCAGATGGCGAAGAGACACCTCTCGTTGAGCGGCGCTGGGTCTGAAATGCCACGCGTTGTTTTGTTGTTCACCTGGGCTGACGAATGAACAAGACATACCCGTACTCATAGGGGGGACGGAAGGAGCTACGGGTGCGCGTTGTCGGATGGGGATCCCCGCTCGAAGGGGCTCCCCACAGGGTCCGACAACCCGCACCCATACCCATAGCCAGTCCTCCTGCAACCGACCCCCCCATGGGTATGGGGGAGTGTTGTTAGCGTAAAGGGAAACGGGTCCTGAGGGGAACGGGCCCGGCCTTCCCCCAGGACGAGATCTTCATCCTGAATCGTTTTCTGACAGTCCTGGAGCCCGTGGAGGGCCCCGAGAGCCCCAAAACGGAGAAACACTTCAGGGCCCGTTTCCCTCAGGACCCTTCCCCCATGGCGAAAGTTGTTTGCTCGTCGCAAGCGGCCAGGCCCCTCAGTTCTGCGGGCCAGGGGGTCCGCCGGTGGCCTTGGCGTTCTTCTTTGCCGCCGGCGTCACCGCTTTGAACTTGTCCTGCGGGCACGGGCTCGCGGAGGGCCACGGCGGGGCGAGGGCCAGAGGCGGGGGCCAGGATGGGTAAGGAATCCGTCTCTCCTTCTCCTCCTGCGCCTCCCCCTCGTGTTCCCTTTCCTCCCCTGCCTCATCCTGCAACCACGCTTTCCTCTTAGCCTCCTCCCTCTCATCACCCCTGTCTCGTCTTCCGCCCCTCGAGCCGCTGTTCTCTCTCCTTCTATCTATCTGTCTTTCTCGTCAGGGACCAAACGCATACCGATACCGCTACTCCCAAAACCTCTCCCAAGATGCGCTCTAGCAACAATTTCGGGGCGAGCCCAGCCGTGGCGACAAAACGACTGAGGGCACAGGTAGCATTGACACCTCCTCAGCCTCCTCAGCGGGTGCGGAGTAGTACTGCCGCGTCGCGGCGCCACGTGCACCCAGCGCCCGCCGACGGGCGTGCAGTCCAAGCTGGGCTGCCGCGGCTGTCCACCCTCCGCAGCAGGCTGTGGCGTGGCACGGGTGCAGCGGTCACTTCGCGGCCGCTGCGTTGCCAGTGGGGCCCTCTCGAGCGGAATGCCCAAGCGGGGAAGGATGGTGGGCCCAGAGATCTGGGCGTTGCAATGTATCACACCTGATGTTTTCGCCCGACTTCGGGTCCTGGAACACTATATCTGAAGAGCGCCGCGGAGAGATCGGGTCAAGGGTTCCGTTTGTGATGCCGCGCGATGTTGCATTTGTTTCCCAACGTCGGTTCTCTGGGCTCAGGAAGGTAGCTGATGCAACTTCAACTGACCTGCCACAAGCAGGGCGCGTGCCCGCAGCAGTGTGCCCCTCTTGGCGGAAAGCCTCTGGGAGACACTGCGGGCGGACAAGTTGACATTGCTTACGCAAACTCTTGCCTGTCCCTGCGTCTCCTCCTGCAACTCATACACCTCCTCCCCCAGAACACGTTCCAATCACAAAGACGGACGAAGGTCAGGCGCGCAGAAGCTGACACACGGACACCCATACACACCGAGCGCGCGGACGCACAGAAACAGCGAAAGACGGTCACACGAACGCAAGTGCCTGCTTGAACCACACGCAAGCACAGGTCGCCGCAATGCACTAGCGACCGGGCCTTCATCGGATGTTCGCGGAACACCAGGGAAAAAACAGAACGTGCACCTAACTACTCTGGCGAACCAGGCTGGGCCTGAAGGCGCGCCGGCAGGGCGTCGCGCCAGCCTCCACGCCACCGCCGGCGCGCACAGCCGGCGCCAGTAGCAGCATGGCCGCGGCGGCACCGCAGGTGCCCCAAACACGGCCTCGCAGCCAGCTGCGGCCACCGCGCCGCCGAAGGGCCGCACCGCAGGCACGCCGCCCAGCCTGGGACCTGCGCCGCTGCGTGCGCCTGCCACGCGGCGCCTGCGAAGAAGGCGCGCGCCGCCTCGGCTGGCGCAGGTGGCACGATGGCTCCGCCACCCTCTACCGCAGCTCGCGCCATTCCGCGCCGCGGCGTGGGGGGGGCACGCGCCGCTGGCGCCGCTGGCTGGGGACGAGCCTTGGCAGTGCGGGGTCCGCGCGCGGCGCGCGCATGGACCGCCCAGCCCGTGGCCCTCGTGGTTGGCTTGCAAGGCCGCCGGCTCAGTCGCAGCGAGCACGCTCTGCTCTGCGGCCAGCGCCGTCAGAGGGAGGTCGGATTCCAGCAGAGCGCCGGCGGGGGGCAGCGGGCGCTGCAGCGGGCGCTGGCCGCTGCGTCTGCCGGCCGGTCGGCCGCCGCGTTGCCAGCCCTGTCCTCATTGGACATGCCCTGGGCGAGCGCGTTTTCGGCGTCCGTATGGCCGTTGATCCACCGCGCGCTCCCGTGATGAACCCGCTCCTGCTGTGCTTGGCGAAGCGCTCCCACAGATGGGAGTGCGCCCAGTCGAGGTAGCATGGCCCGGCGCGCAGGGCGGTCACGCCATTTCGGACGAAGCGGGAGTCTGTAACCACCTCCACTGGCACCTCCGCCAGGCTGACCGCTTGGACCGCGGCGGTCACCTCAGCGCGCAGCCCCCGGGCTGCCCTGGCCACCAGCGGGTCTTGAGGACGCACGCGTGCACCGTCGGTTCAAGCCCTCCTGCGAGGCTGAAGTGTGGTTGGCACACGAGCACTAACGCAGGCACACCCACACGCTCACGAACGCTCACGCACGCACAATGTTTGATTTTTCGAGGCTCACGCACGCCGCGTTGCCGCGGACATACATACCGCCCGCGCACAGACGCACAGACAAGACAAGGACAGGGCAAGGCAGCAAATCTCAGGGCAGCGCAGGACATTCCAGGGCGGGGCAAAGCAGGAGAGAGAACAGGGGCAGGACCAGGACTAGTAACGGACGGAACAGTCGACAGGGCAGAACTAGATAGGCCAGGGCAAGAACACGCTTAGCCTCAAACGCGCACAAATACATGTATGGTTTGTTCGTGTGTGTGTGTATGTGCCCGCATGCTGGGCAAACTCGAACTCTACCAACGAGGCGAACGTCGCAACCTCAAACGATTTCAACTGACAACCAGAAGATGTGCTAGGGGAAAGGAAGGTCAGCTGCCTACGAGGTGGGGGCCACGAGCAGCTGCGGCGCCCACTAATCCAGAAGCCCACCCCCAAATAGACCTGTCCTAAGAATTAAAGTAGCTCTGGTCCGGAGCAATTCCGGTCTGGGCACCCGAGGCACGAAACAGGAGCTACACCTGACCTCCCCCGCCAAGAAGACTCGGGAGTGGTTGGACGCCCGAGTTAGCCGGAATAGCTCCAGTCCTGGGCAACTCCGCTTTGAGCCCCCGAGGCGCGGATCAGGAGCTACTCCTGGCCACCCCTGCCCTGATGACTCGGGGTTCTGAAGGTAAGCGAGAACGAGGATCGCCTCAGCTGAAGGCGAAGGCCGAACCTTGAGGGTGCTGGACTTGCGGGAACGGGCGAGCGAAAAGCTGCAAGTGCCCGGCTGAGCCCGGGATCGCGCAGCAGCAAACCAACCCTGACACGCCTGCCGACACATGCAGGCATCGTGCTGCCACAAGGCTGAAGAAGGAACGAAGGGGCTGTTCGCTGTTCGGGCCACGGCCAGCCTCGGCCACGAAAAGGTCCCCCCACCTAGAAGCACGGCACGGCCCGAAAGCCCGAGCCCCTCCTGGGACCGGAGGTGTTCTTGTGTCAGCGTTTTGCCTGTAGAGGCCGGCAACCCTGACATCCGCCGATCTGAACCTTTTCTGTCCACGGCCCCAGACGTCCTGTCTCCTTCCCCGAGGATCGATTTTCGCTCCGGATCCATGCTTGATGGCCCCTGGGCCCAATAGCGGCCCCTGGAGGCCAAAATTAGGGGGAAAACAAACCTACCTCACTTTTGACCACCCTCGCCTCCAAGAGATACCAAACGATGCCAAACTACGGCCTGCGCTGGTCAGGCCGCTTGACGATGAGGCGCGTGGTATGACTTGGTTTTGCCTGGAAGCGAAAGCGGGGTAGGTAATTCACGCTCTGAAAAATGGAGGAACGGCGCCCAGATTGAACAAATCACATCGTCGGAGATCTGGGCAAGCGATGCTGAGCGATGGTCGGGGGCGTCCAAGAGGGGAGCGTCCAAAAATGGGGTTCGCGAATCATGGCCCGACGTATGCGCGAGGCCCCCTGGAAAAAGAAGAGGCACCATGAATTCTAGGGAGGTATCACGGCCTCCGCCCTGATTCTCCCCCGCTGGTCTAGAGGCCTCCTAGATGGGGTCAGAGTAGATGGGGTCGAAGGATCGCGCCGCATTGCCGATGCATCGTCGACATCGGCGATGCATTGGCGACGTCGACGTGGAGAAGACCAGGCCCCCCATCGAGCCTCGGCGAACCCATCTACTATGACCGCATGTGGGAGGCCTAGATAATCATCACTCCCCTCTTGGCCGACCCTGGGATGGGCCTGCGCGGCAGGACCCCCGGGGAATCCCTGGGGCCTGGGCCGTGCGAGGGGAGGTCCAGAGCAAAGGTCGCTGGGACAAACGCACAGCGGACGGGCGTGTCGGGATGGGCAAGCGCAGATTCGTCCTGAAGTGTATGACCCTCCTCCTCCTCCTCCTCCTCCTCCTCTTCCTCTTCCTCTCCCCCCCCTCCCCCTCCACTTTCCCTCATCTTCCCGCCCTCATCCTCCTCCTTGGTTTTTCTGGGCTCCCGTCAGCGGGATAAATGTCTGCGGCTCCAGCCGCTCGTACCTCCGCTGCTGCCTGTCTTCTCCTCAGCCCGCCAAGCAGTCGACCCCGCTCAAAGGAACTCTCGAGCTTAGAGTAGCTTCAACGTGAAGCACGCAAGGACACTGTGAACACACACACACACACACGATCGGGCACTTCTGCTTAGCGCGTCGCGGCGGGGGCCTGGCGACACATTATGCCCTGCCAGCGGCTAGCGTGTCGCTTTGCTCCACGGGGCGAGAAGCCAGGAACAGCGTGTGACGTTGTCGCTCGGGGACTGTGACGTGATCGGCGTGTCGCCGCGAAGCGTGGTGGGGCAGCATTGGCGGCGCGACATGCGAAGCCAAAATTCTCGACCGCGAGCAAGATTCGCCGGCCCCCTCTTGGGGCCACCAGGCTATAGGGCTAGGTTGCTGCTCCCTGCACCAACTGCAGCTTCAATTCTCCAATGTTACAATCCTGCTTTCTGCTTCCCACTGTAAATTGTTGAAGTCCGCGCGAGGGGGAAGCCCCAAACCGGCAATATACCAGCCCGAGATCGCGTTGCCTGAATTCTTGGGGGGGCGTGGGACACGTAGAAATAAATGAGACTCGCGCCCCCGAAGCCACAATCCCTCATACGTTACACAATGTTCGCGTCCCCGAAACCACAAACCCTTTGCGCCCCCAATGCAACAGACTGGTGAAAATTACTCCATTATCGCGTAACCGAAACCATAACCCCTTCAAAAATTACACGACATTCTCGCCCCCGAGGCCACAAACCTTCGCATGTGATACACTTGTTGCGTCCCCGAGGCAACACATCTTCGCAAAGTATGCAAGG